ATGTGTAGGAGCAGGGGTGTGTGTAGGGATGGAAGACATTGGCTCTTAACCTAGAAGAGGGGAGAGGGATAGCAGAATATAATTTTCTTTAAAGTGAAAATTTGAGATGTCTTATCTACTGTATGACGTTAGTCAGTGTTGTTGAGTCGAGTTTAGTTAGTAATGACAAATGCAATGACTGTGTACCATTGTGTTTTGCACTTTATTACTGGTTGTGGAAATCGCATACACCACTGTACTCTATATGCCACTGCTAAATGGCCGTCTTTGTATGTCCGCAGGCTCTCAAACTGGTTGGTTTTTATATATAGATCTATTCTTGGCCTGGTTCCCTCCTGTCTGTCTACATACATGTGTAGAAACCAAAATCAATATGGCCTTCGCTCTCATAATATTCTACAAATGCTGGTCCCGAGGGTGAGAACAGAACTCAGCAAAAAAGCTTTTAAACATGCAGCTCCTTCGTTCTGGAATAATCTACAGAAGGATCTGAAACTGGCAGAGCTGATCAAGGTGGGAAAAACTTCAAGGCGATTTTAGAGAATCGAAAAATTAGCTCTTTTAGTCACTCAAACAATGAGAAGGTTTTTGGAATATATTATAATAAGTATGTTTTCTGTGGTGTATCACCTGAAATTAGAATTGTGTTTTTGCTACCTTAGAACCAGCTGTTTATATCTACATAGGGAGTGGGTCCTTGTCCACAGAGTCCGCCATGGTTCTAAAGCAACCAAGAACGGACAAACCAAACACTGGCTCCGTTTTCGAATCGGCCACTGTAGCTAACAGCTCTTTTGAGCCGAGTAGTGTAAAAAAAAAAAAAAGACACTAATTTTTTAAATGTGAAACTGCTAGATGTTTTTTTCGGTTTAAATCACCTGGTCCGTTTGTTTTGTAGAGGAAGAAACCTCTGCAGGTAATTAGGCTCCTGGTAAAAACCTCCTGATCATGTGAGAAAAAAGGTGAGCACAGAGGTAAACATTGATTTGTTAAGTGCAACTTAACTCACCTTATTCAGTGTTTTTACCAGTTTTAATCACCTGATCTGTTTGTTTAGAACAAAGAACAATGAATAAAGTTTCAGCTGGTTGCAATCTGCAATCCTCACCACTAGATGCCACTAAATCCCCCTAAATCTTACACACTGGGCCTTTAAATCAATTCATATGTGTTATTCTTTTTATTTATTGTTTATTTTATTGTTTCTTTAGTGAGCTTGTGATTTCATTTTAAAATTAAATGATCAATTCATCATATAAGGAGAGAATAAAGACAATTTTCAGCTCATTTTACTTTTTTTTTGTTTAGCTTTGTTTAACTTTGTACACACACACACACACACACACGCACACACCATATTCCAAGACTAAAGCCCACAGACTGAAATTATTTAGACTAAGGCTGGCACAATATCACATTTTCACTGCACTGTTATTGTGGACAAAATAATTCATGATAACAATACTGTCATGATATCTTTAAAAAAATAATAATAATAACAATGCTATCAATCTATTTAATCTTTATCTTTGTTTATTGGGCATTTTGTCTTTCTTTTGGTAAATTAATTGCATTAAAATATGAGTGTAGGGAGATGGAGAGGGAGACAGAGTGAGAACAGAAAGAAAAGGAAAATATTTAAGAGGTGCTGGATTATTTACAGGATATTGTCATATGTGTTTTATTAACAGGATATCAATTGATATCAAGTTTTAAATATGGTTATCATCATACCAGTATATCAACACTGTGCTGTCTGAAGATGTGCCAGTAGGTGGTGATCTGTGCACATTTTTCTCTGCTCTGTACCTGCTGAGCTGCTCTCAGTGAGACGCCTCGCCTCTTTTATGATCTCAAATCAATATTTTCAAAAGGCATTGATCCATTTAATGCCTTTCCTGTATTAGTCTGACTTTGTAAACCAGGAGGAGAACTCAGTGGTAGATGCAAGTTCCCTCCTCTGTGATCGTTGGCTGTTACTGCAGGTGTCTGCAGGATAAAAGCTGCTGGATTTCTTTACGTCCCCGACTGAGCAAGTCAATACAGACTGGAGAGCATGAATACAGCGTCTTTAAATACTGAGCTGCACTTTCACCTCACTTCTCACCTCAAGAGGCCGTCAGCTTTCTCACAGAAGGTGTGAAACAGGGGCATGAGATGCTTAAAAGATAATGACAGATATAGATTTGATAAAGGTTTGTTGATATGTTTATTGGTGTCTGTGGTGCCACTCTCTCTAGAGTGGTATCACTTCCTTTTGAGTTGCTGATTTCTGACAGGAACTGAAATATAACATGCGGTGGGTGAAAACCGTAAGGTGTGCAATGCGGTTACTGAGTTTTATAATAAAAAGTAAATGCATTATTTTACATTTATATACAGCACAGTTAAAAACATGAATAATTTCCTGCACTTTATCAGTTAAACACTGTCGGCATCTCAGAAGTTTAAATGTCTGTACAATGTAAACACATACATTTAATGTTACAATATCAGCTCGGCCCTAGTTGGCCTCAGTGGCGCCCCCAGGATTTTTTCACAGGGGTGGCCACTGAAAATCTTACGCCAGGGCCACACCGCCCACGGAAGCGCCGCGAATAGCCTCGAAGCACCGAGAAGTGAAGGCAGTTTCCTTTCGGCGCCCACACTGGCCTCACCGTGCCGGGAAGCTCCGCAGCAGGCTCTCGATTTGCAGCGATCAGTTCGGCATCTGGTCTATTTTCTGCGTGAGCCGCGAGCAAATGTGTCATGCCAGGCAGTGAAAAACAACAGCTGGGAGCAGAATTGCTTGTCGACGGCGTGGAGGAATGCGCGTCTGATGTGAACGGAGGTTCTCCGGCGCGCGCGAGAATTTCAGTGCGCTGCGCTTCGCAGGCAGTGTGGCCCTGGCGTTAGAGTATCACACCAAAACCAGAAACCATAACTGAATACCAAGAATTTGCTCTTGCTGTTGAAGAATATAGGCTGAAAATGATGTCAATATAAAGAGTTAAGGAATCTCATATTAATAAACTTTGGTTTCTTATTTTACAGTTCAGACATTTTTAGAAACTGTTTAGCTGTAAAATGAGAAGGTTTGTGCCGCCATGTTGGATACAGTCAAGTACCAAGCCCTGCCCACTGGTTGGACTGACTGTCCTTATTTTAAAGCTTAACAGTACACTCAAATATGTTTCTAAAAAGCATTCAAACTGTAAAAGGCAATGCAGTGACAGAATTCTGACTCATATTTGATCAGCACTGCCTAGTTTGACAGTTTGACTGCAGTTCACGAGCAGTGATTGACATGATTGACGGCTGCATTAGAAACTCTTCAGCTGGAACTGGCTGTTTTCGGTGTGCTGCTGCAGATTCTAGCAAATAAAACTCAAATACCGCTGCTTTGTCAGTGATTTTGCCGTCAGTCACCTAAGGCTAAAAGCCACTTTTGCAGTGTCAGTTTGTAACTTGGCCGAATGTAACCTCTCACGGTGTTATGAAACCCTGACAACCCAAACAGCATCAGCTGCAGCAATATGATATGCAGACAGGCAGCGCCACTTCATAACACGACCATACAGCACCTTTTGCAGCAGTATGATACGCTGCTTGAGAGTCTCATATTGAAATACTGCCAGTAACAACATAAGGAGCTGGAAAGTCCCTATAGGATGGGTGGGAGGGGTGGTGGTGGTGGTGAGTTCAACAAACCCTGAACTTTCATGTGGGAGCCTGGTGTTTGCTTCCTGCATGAATGTAGAGTTGTTGTTTTTTCTAAATCTAACCATGTGTTTTTGTTGATGTCCCAGCATTGGTTGTACCATCCCAGAACTTCAACAACAGATGCAGGAGGATACCTAACCTAATATGTGACATGAAAGGCCACTGACAAAGCGGCAATATGTGACGACTCAGGATAAGAACATGTTGACTTTTTCATGCTTATGCTGGATTTATTTTGACACCATACCTATGGTGTAGGGCTCTGCGTCGACATAGAGCCTACGCCGAACCCTTCTCCATAGCCTGATGTGCACCTCCCCAGATATTTAATTACATGTCGCAGCATCACAGACTTCCTGTCTATCTCTGTAAGCTGAAACCTTTTCCCTCAGTGGAAAGGAAGCTTTTATTTACATTAACTTTTACTTAACAGATAAGAAATAATAAATTGTGAAGACAATAAAGCCTCCACAAAATAGCATTTTAAGTCTTGTGTGTGTGATTTATACTTTGGGATTTATACTGGCTTCGTAGTAGAAGAATGCTCCGCTCGTCGCTAGGCTAATATATATAATGTAAAATGCCATAGGCTTGTGCTAATGTCATTAGCATGTTATATTTGTTTGGAAAACGTGTTTAGTATAAGACAGTTGTTTTGTTAGTGAACCTTGTGAGCTGTAATGGAGCCAAATTTTGTAACTTTACCTTTGTTAAATGTTGCTGTTGTCCCTGGTTTCATATGAGCAGAGGAAAAGTCCACTAGTCGCTAGGCTAATATATACAATGTAAAATGCCATAGGCTTGTGCTAATAACATTAGCATGTTTTATTTGAGTGGAAAATGTGTCCGTATTAACACAAATGCTTTGTCTGTGAATGCTGCGAGTTATAGTGAAGATGATTTGTGTACTTGTGTTTGAAATTGTCTCTATTAAGCCATGTTTAATGTGTGTTTAATTGTGTGTTTTGAATCAACTAAACTTTACAGCACTTCACGGAACCCACCGCCGACTTACATTTTGGAGGTGTAACTGCAGAGTGACACAAACACACCACAGCACAAGTATGAATGCTCACAACAGCGTAGACCACGTGTGTCGGCTCTGCATAGAGCTGACACACAAGTATAAATCCCACTTTAGGCCTGTAACTTATCTCTCATACGTTCTGCCATTCACTCCTTACATACGTTCACTCACTATTTCTAGCTGTCATTGTCTGGGACTGTTGAGTCATCAGCTGTTCTGACAGCTGATTCACAGTTAACCATTAATAAAGTGACACACCTTCTCTGTAAGCTTATCATCTTAGTGCTTCTCATTTTAAATAAGTTTTTTTTTCTGCCTGTAGTTCCTCCATGCTGCAGTCGTGGGCACCCTCATCCTCCCCATCACTGCATAATCTTCACAGATTAATCAGCCTCATCTGCCCCACCAGTCATCAACCTCAGAGTCATCAGTCGCCACCACCACCACTACGAGTTTCGGGATTGTTCTTGCTGACATTCAGATGTCCCTTGATCAGAAAAAGTCTCCCTCTGGTGTCCAAGCGCCAACGTTTTTCTGTTAAATCTTAATCAGCTCAAATCATCAGTTAACCTGTTCACCCATGTTCTGTATTAAACTTTATCCTTGCTTTATTCATCTGTCTCTCCTGTTTAAATGCCATTAGAGTCACTGCTGGTAAGAGGGAGGTGATTTTTTTTTACAAACTGTCTGTCACATGTACTTCTTTTAGAATATGGTGACAGTTTTAATTATGACACAAAGTGATTTCCAGATAAATTCAGGATTAAAGTGTTTTTAATGATCTTGTCTATTTGCTTGTTTTATAAATTGCACATCCGTTTCTTGTTTCTGGTGGGCCGAAGACAAATTTCCGCCCTGGTGGACAATGAAGAGCTATTCTATTCTATTCTTTTCTGTCATACGCTACAACATATGTGGTTTACAGCTGTAGCAGTGTGTGCATGGTGAGTTTGGTGGTTTTTCTAAAGAAGCATTACATCTTCTCATGTCTGTTCCTGTGTAGTTTATGGTTTCAAACGTTTCTGGTTAAGGTGACCTCTTTTATCACTATAAAAAACACAACAAGTGGTTTGATTCAACACAGTGACACATTTTAAACAAACCGAAAGACAATTTACTGGAAATATAAAAAAAGATATCTTTAAAAAACAAGTAAAGGCCAATAAATAAGAAGAAATGCGCAAATACAATCACTTGTACATGCAGATTTAGGAGATTTGTGTGACTATTTACATGATCTCACATCAGCTTCACCACCTATGCCGCCGTCGTCTTGAAGACCTCATACGGACAGCTTGAATAACCTGAACATTCAAGAAAGAGACAAAACAGCACAGAACAAATCAGTTCAGTTAACTGCTCAACTGAAAGAGGTCCACCCACAATATATGTAACAAAAAAACCCTCAAGGCGGAGACAGGTTGGTGTTAGAGGAAATGGTGCCTCAATGCAGGAGACAGCGCGCCTACAATCTGTCCACAAACATGAGTAAATAGCAGACATCATATTGTAGTAGGTGTCAGATTCCCACACAGGGAAAGAGCATTACTCATCCACAGGATGTAGGCTAGGATTTTCACAGTTAATATACAAACACAAAAGCACTAACACTAAAATAAATAACACTGCATAATAATTCACTGATAAGAAAATAATTTCAGTGTCAGGTAGAGTAAGACACAGTTTTATAATAATGCATGCAGGCTATACCCACACAGTCTAATGCAGTCCAATACCACAGCTCAGCCATCAATTGTCCACATTAGACAGTGTCTTCCAAACCCTTTAGAAATGAAAAGTAAACCTGTTTATGATGCGACAACAATATCGTTAGATTAGCTTCAGTTACAAAAACAACTTGGTTTAGAGCGATTTGATTCTCATCGTTAAGTTGGATGAGTTTCGATTAGGAATGAAAACGTTTTATTTCCACTGCACCTGTCTCTTGTGGTGTTCCTCAAGGCTCCATTTTAGGTCCTATCTTATTTTAATGTTTCCACAGAGGGCTGTTTTTAAATGAAACACTGTTATGCAGCTGTACTTCCCCTTCAAACCAGGTAGAGTCCAGGGTTTTCAATGTCAAACGCTGGATGACAAAATTACTTTTTCTCACTAAACAGAGGTAAGACACAGAAATCTTGGCATCACTCTGAATTCTGCATTCAATTTTGTAGATTTATAGTAATTTTGTCTCTAAAACAAAAGTTTTAATAATCTCATATGTTTTCAAAACACTGCTTTAAGAGCACGCTCTCACTCCAAAGTTGTGGAAATCCGGCGCTTGGTTTCTGATGCTGCAAGTCAGTGAAACGCAGTGGGACGCAAGTTAAGGAGCGGGCGGGAGAGGTGGTGGATGGGTCCAACAAACTGACATTCACCCGAAAGAGCGGTTTTCGTGTTCCGTAAGATTCTAAAACTAAACCCTGTTCTTTTTTCCTAAACTTAACCACTTCCTTTTGTTGCCTAAACCCGACTATTTGTGTTTGTTGTTGAAGGGTGAAAAAAATGGCAATTTGTGGTGTTGTACCAACGTAATGCGTTTATTTTGAAAGAGACTTATACCAGTAAAAACAGTGAATGAAGCTGTTTCATACGAAAAAAAATCTGCATTTCTGACGCTGCTTGTCTCAGAGGGGCTGCTAACTACAGTGGCTAACGCAAAAATACAAAAACTCGAATAGCCCTATCTAGAGTCAGTGTTTAGTTTGTCCATTCTGGGCTTCTGAAATGACGGACTCCATGGACAAGGACCTGCTCCCTAGTAGATATAAATGGCTCATTCTAAGGTGACAAAAACCTAACAATTCTCATTTATTTTCAGGTGATTATACACCAAAGAAAACATACATTTCTGCCAATATATCCCCCTGAATCTTTTCATCAATTAATCCCATGTTACGACTGAGTGTGTGTTCTGTACTGCTGTCCCTTTTCCCTCCCTTGCAGATCTGCCCAGGTGTGCTGCATTAGTTAACGAGGTGCCTGGCATGGAGAAGGTGTTTAAGAGCTCCAGTGCCAGCAGCAAAGGAGAGAGGCCTCTGGTGTTGTTTGCTTGTTTTGATTCTAATAAATCCCATGGATTTGAGTGTTTTAAAGGTGTTTATGCGGTTATTTTGGGTCAGTGTTGGAGTTTTGTTTTCCCCATAGGGCCGCCTAAGGGTGGGGTGTATCATCCCACTACACATTCCCATTTATTTTCATTTCAGTGAAAGCACTTTGGTCATTTGCACAATAAATAAATAGATAACTTGAATTCATCATGTTTGCCTCATAGTCTGTAACAAATCCACCCAGTGAAGATAAATAGAGTTTATTTACCCGAATGCTGATCAGAGAAAAAATGATTTTGGCGAGGCCCACTGCCACATAGCCTAGGATGCTCCACATGACTGGCAGGTCCTCCCCTTGACTGCTGCAGGTCAGGTTGAGCTGACTTGTGGTAGACACAGTTGTCATTGTTGACACTGTCGTCAGGTCAGTCTGGATCACACATGCTGCATTTAGATAAACACAGAAGAACTCAGTGTATAAAAAGATTCAGTATTTCAGGGCAGATTGGTAGAAATCTGTCACAGCATTAACTGTTGTTTGATACTTTCATCTCATCAGTGATTAAACTTCATTTTTTCAAAAAGTTCAGCAGACAATTTCACAAAATTTCTACACTGATTTTTTTTTCCTGATATAGTAATGATTTTATCTGGCAGAGGCAACATTTGTCCATTGGTAGCCTTTTTAAAATGAATGGTAGAATATAAATGTATGGAAACTGCATAACTGTCACAGTGGAAAGGAAAATATTATGCATGTTTGAGGAGATGGATAAACGAGAAAAAAAGGGGTATTTCCTGCTTTTTGATGTGGCTCAGCATGTTCTGTTGCAGATGCAGAAATGAGGTTAAAGTACAAATTCTTTTTGTCAGATGGATTTAAAAGATCATGTTGCTTTGTCTGTCAAACTATTTGGAATAATTCAGATTACACTGATAAAGTTCTCAATACCTCTCAGCCTTAAGGGTCACAACTGGTTATCATTACAGCACACACCACTGATATCTTTACCAAAGAGTTGTCTGGCCACATTTAGTTGTGAGACGAAACCAGCATTGGTTTTCATTTATCTATAAAGCTTTGATGAGATGCCCCAGCCTATATTTAATCCCTTTTAACTCTGAACTCACATCATCTTGGTGCTCACTCACATAATCAGTTGTTGCTTCCCTTTTCCCTTAACCTGGCCAAATGTCATTTCCTTACAGTGCACTGTATAGATGGAGTAATCTGCACAAGACCTCAAATTTAGACACTCTGCCACCATTATGACTGTTTAAATGCCTTATTTCAGATCTTGATTTAGTTGATTGTGAATGCTTTTAACCATCCATCTACTTCATGCCATTTTTATTACCCTGTATTTTAACTTTTAGCTGTTATAAATTATTATTGTTATTTTTTTGTTTTGTATGATTTTATTTTAACAGTTGTTTTTAACCTATTTAAGGTTTAATTATTTATATTTTTTTTATATCTGTGTTCAGGCTCAGCATCGTTGAAAATCAGGGTCTCCTTGAATTGATTTTCCAAGTCTTAAGTAAAGGTTTGAATTAATGAATTCTTGGTGCATAATCAAACAAAAGATAAAACTAAAACCTTACAACTTAAAACAATTTTAACTGGATGTTGAGCTTGTAAACATTTATTTTTGTATGGTTTTGCTGTTTCTCTGTTTTTAGATTCTTTGTTCACCAGAGGCATGCAAGAAAAACAAAGGTGTCTTTACAAATTCAACGAAACACAGGCTGAGCAACTGATACGCAAATTATCTTTTTGTGGGTGAAGTATTCCTTTAAATATGACACATGGTCGAACAGAGTTAAATTCCAGTTTTGAATGTGTTCATTTGATTGTTGCTGAGGCACCTCACAGAAAAACTTAACTACTAACAACAGTCACTTTGTAGACTCCAAATACTTGCAACATGCACTCTGCTTCCTGTAAATCTTTAGCTGTCAAACAAGAAGTGAAATAAGCTGTTTCACTTGCAGCTGCCATAAATATCATGTCATCAGAAATCCTAAATTTAGAGATGAGGTATCAAACACTTGTCGGTATACTATCCAGATATGTGTGTGGCTCAGTTCAGATGCTTTATGTGTGGTGTAAATTAAACTTAGATCTTACCTTGAACTGTTAGGTTGACTTTGAGATTCAGATTTTGACCCCCTACATTTGCACTGATGTCACACTCGTAGATGCCCGAGTCGTTAGGTGTAGCCCGGGCAAGGAACAGACTGTATTGCTCCCCAAACTCAGGTTTGGGTGATCGAGGGAAGTCGTAGTCCTGTATGCTGTTCTGTTTACCCTTCCTGATGATGCCAACTTTTTCCTTGTTGTTGAACTGCTCAAAGAAACATCACTAAACATCACTGTTGTATTTCCATGATCAAATTAAATGAAAGTCACTGAAACACAACACCAAAGTTTTTATCTGGCATTTGTCATGGCTTAAATTTAACAGTATTTATGTCTAAAATCCTGAAATGGTTCACTGACCTTGTACCATGCCAAAGAGATGAAATCCTTTTTACCCAAGTCAACACCTGGGCACTTCACTGAAACATTTGTATTGCAGTCTGCATTCATTTCAAACTGACTCTGGGTTGTGTAATGCAGCAACAGCAGCTATGATAACCAAACCACAAACAGCATCAACACACTGAACTACTTTAGTTTGTCTAGTGAAGGAAAACAACAATAAAATATCAATAAGATGTTACAAGCTTGAATTTTATAATCACATAAACATCAGACTGAACTTACCTTAATGAACAGAACCTTCTGGGACATGTTTTCATCGTCATGTGGCTGTAACGACAGGTGTTTTTTCTTTCTCATTTCACGTTTAATGTGCTCACAGTTTCCTGTAAAAGGGGCACATTTGAACTGGGGGTACTATTGGGAGTCATTGTCTGAGAAAGGATACCACCAAGTGGTTACTCAGAGCAATGCATCATGGCTGTTAGCACTGTAACTCATATTCATACAGTGTTTTTATAGGGCAACAAAACATTTGAATTTTGAGTCACATCCTTAACGCCCTCAGTTCAGTTCAGACCTTTTTCCACAGGAGATTTTTTTTCTTTTTCCAGCAAACTGGCTTAGACAGTAACTTAAAGGGCGCTCCACCAATATTACACAGGAAGTTCAGCGTGCAGAGAGTCAGCTGGTGGAAACAACAGTGTATAATGTCTTCTGTGGCTCTGGAGGGAGATTCCTTAAGTCTGAGAGAATATTTGAGCTTATACTTAAAAAGAATTATAATAGGTTGCATTACAGAGTTTTGGGGTTTTAGGGGGGTCGAATGATGAGTTGAATGAAGCTGTAGGATCCAATGTTTTTGCATCTTAATAGAGACTAAAAGAAAAAGTTTTTCGGCCTCTGCTGCTTCAGTTTTAATTGTTTAAAGTCTCTTGTGAGTGCCTCAACCTTATGAAAGTACAGTGCTGTAATTGTTGGATTGCTCCTTTAACGTCAACTGAACATCATGTTTCTGCTGACCTCCAGTGGTTTAATGGCAGCCCAGGAGAAAATATTGGCTTTGGACGTTTCTGCAAACGTTACATTTGTACATTTTATACATATCATATCAACGTTTCTAAAACAATGCAGTCTGTAAGGTGACTCAGTCATCAGGAGGTGGAGGTGTTGGTGGATGCCATAACGCAGGGGTGTAAATATAGACAGTGCAGGGAGGGCGGTTGCACTGGGGCACATGAGGTGGGGGGAGCCCCAGATACAATGGACCCTCCAACAATGTGTTGGGCGGGGAATGGGCCCTTGTGGGTGATTTCCACCTCGAACATATGCCTGTGTTAATACAGTGTCATTTGCTATCTATGCCCTTGAAAAAGGCAAACTCAACTCTGTTATGTTTTTTTTTTTTTTTTTTACTTTATCTGTAAAACAGTCAATAACATCTATAACACAATTCTATGCTTATTCTACAACTGTAAATCAACTATTCTATAAGTATAAATTAACAAATTAAAATTGTTAAATTAAATCATTAATTTCTTATTTTTTGTTATATACAGATATGCAATGATGATTGCTGGGTAACATGTATGTTGATGTTATCCAATGTCAAGTCTCTGATCATGTGACAAGACAATATGTGCATAATATCATGCAATAGGGTCCATTGTAACTACCTTCTTCCGCTGACATGACGGCTGCCAAGCTGCAGACAGCTGTTCGAGAGAAACAGATAACAACACCGGTTGTTATTTAGCGAGACATCTGCAGCATTTCCAGCTGTAATGGCACCAAAAGCAGGTATTTTCCCACATAACCAAGTAGTTTTTCTACCGAAACATAACCACACATTAACCACAGAGCTGTAGAACCATCAAGTTTTAAACATATCTGCTACATTATAACATGCAAATGTTACACATGAGTGGTTTGAAGAAATATATAATGACAACATTAATTCTGGCTGTTGGGCTTTTAATTTTTGTAGTTATGCTTTCAAAGAAGTGGTTCATACAACTTGCTGTCAGACCATGCTTGGTGTTGTGTTAATAGCTGTTCTAGACACAAAGTAGTCAGAGAGACAGACTAAATGCCATAATTGTTTAAATATGGGTATAATGACACACATTGTCAGACAGTCTTTCTGTTGCACTCAGTTGTTCACATGAAAAGTGAGTCATTTCTGAAGCTATTTGACGTCTGACAAGCAGCTCTGATGAAGCTTAACTTCTCTCCTTGTTGCAGTGAAGTGTACTCCAGGGTGTGCAGGTGCATTTTGACATTACTGTTGGGTGTGGTTACAAGTGCAACCATGGATGGATTATTGAACGGGCCTATTGGGCACAAGCACAGGGGCCCGAGATATCAGGGGCCCCTTAGTCTTCCCCTGCAAAATGTCACTGAAATAAGCATGTACTAAGAGACTCAAAATGATCACAAAGAGAAACAAAAGACCTGCAATGAAAAAAAAAGGTATAACCACAAATCAGTGTGTCTCCCTCCTACATAGAAAAGGTGGTGGGGCCCTTTGCATATCTGTGCCCAGGGCCACAAATTGTCAGAAGGGTTGTAAGCAAGCATACAAAACACAATAAGGCGACAGCAGACGTGTGAACACTGTACAAGTCATGTAAAACTATTGCTATTATTTGCTTAAATCACTTGAATCAACAGGTCTATATTTGGGGCCTTTAGTTCCTTTCACACAAAACTGTTGCTCAGCAAAGATGGGAAATACAATCCAACACATTCTCACTCCGATCTCGTCACATATCAGCGTCTGGTCATGGACTTTCCACGTCCAGATTCAACGTGAAAGGTACCCTGGGTGCGTTGGTTGTTGACGTTCTAGGACACCGTGTCAAGTTCTGCCTGTTACATGCATTGTCTTCTTTCAAAATACACTTCTGTTTTCACAGGAAATTTAACGTTTACATACAGTCTCTTTCAAAATAAACACACTACGTTGGTACAACACTGCAAATTTACTTTTTCATCCTTCAACAGCAAACACACGTGGTTGGGTTTAGGAAAACAGAACAGGGTTTGGCTTTAGAATCTTGCGAACACAACTCTCCCAGGTGAAGGTCGGTGTTTGTTGGAACCATCCACCACCCCCCTCCCACCCGCGGACAAGCATTGGATTTCAACAACTTTGGAGTCAGACCAGGTTGTACAATCAAATTGTTTATTTAAACCAGTATGAATATTATTTGTATAAAACTTAGGCTTCAGATAACATATTAATTATGAATCATTTATTTGATCTAGCTCCAACAGACAGCTCATCAGAGAGAGAGAGAGTTACAGCACCCAGCATACCGACACAACGCCACTTTATTCTGTTCAAACAATGCTCACAACTTGGATTCATTTTAATGGAAAAATCCCTTTGATTCTTTTGATCTGAGGACCCTCATGTACTAAAGGAATATGAATTACTTACAGGGTAATCAAGGAATGGACACATAATTTGAGGCAGCCAACAACCCACATTTATAGATCTAAAAAACTCCTATAAAAAAAATGAACTGCTTGGCAACCAGACCAGGCGTCTAAATGAGACAAGCCTTTATTTGTCAAAATGTGTCGCCACACCGGGCTAGTAGAAGGGACTGGGCGTTTAATTTGAAGTATTACAGTAATAGAAAATACAATAAAAAGGACTGTAACAAGTGAAGAATAAAGATAAAGATAATTTAAAGTGTTAGGCTGTATGTGAATCAAGGCAGTTTATTATATATATGTGAATAAAATAGATGTTCCACGTGTAACAGAAGAAGAAATAAACCTTATATTTGTGCAACAGGCCTCACAAATGGTATGGGTTTGCTAAAAACAGATTTTACTCAGCTGGTCAGTGAGACGTCTCTTCAGGAGACTGAATGTCTTACATACTGGAGGCTCATATCAATCACACACACACACATGCACCCACACACACACACACACTTATGAGGCTAGCTCATCCTGTTGTTTTCATCGCAGGGAACTCCCCATTGTCTCCTTCAAGCATATTATTTGTATGTGTCGCTCTTGTTGACAAAAGAGGTCGATATATGGTTATTAATAGCAGGCTGGCTTTATGGAAAAGGGAAGAGTGAGGCCTTTGGATTCCACCATCTGCATTAAACAATGCCTCATTCAGCAGCAGCTGGCACAGCGAGAGCAGGGACGCAGAAATGTACTGATGTTAACACTGAACATCAGTGGAAATGAGGGTTTTTCTGCCGTTTCCTATAGTGGACACCGGTTACTGCAGCTGTGAGCGGCTTTAGATTTATGACAAGGAGTAATCTCAGCAGGAGAAATGCAAAAGCATGATACTGCACATTTTCTCCCACTTATTGGTCACTGCAGATGTTTCTGTGCTGCATTCATCAAAACATCTTAACCAAGCACGAGGGAGTTTAACAGTTATACAAACTATGTGTTGTAAGGAAATATAAAGGAAGTGCATGAGTCTCATCAAAGATGTGATTCTCTGAAGGTTTAATTGTCGGTGTAAATGTGAGTGAGTGCACGTGTGATGTGTGCATATATGTGTTTGATTCTGGCCCTCCATACTGGAGTTAAAGGGTGTTGCACGCCACAGTAAATCCCAGAGGTTGTTAGCACGCCCAGCTGCTAGCATAGGTCTCCATGTTTCTGTCAGCAAGGTTGTTCACTGCACACTCTTCAGCCTCTGATTGAGGAAATCCTCTGTTTGCTGAAATGAAACGTCCCAATGGTTCCGCCGTCTCTCCCACAGGCCCCGTACACAGCGACTTTCCCATGAAAACTGTGTGCATGTTTACAGGGCTTTGACAGATATATAGCTCTTTGATGGACCCTAACAGTGCCAGTGTGTCACTGCAGGAGAGGCTGACTGGTGACATTTTGAGTTAATTCTCTCTCTTTTTAAAAAAAAAATTAACCCAGAATTTAACACAAAAAAACCCAAAGCCAATTCTGTCTTAGTTCAGTTCAAATCTTTATTGTCCTACAAGAGGAAATTCTTTCAGGAGCAAGGAAGCATAAAAACATAAAATATAAACACAATAAAAACACAATTAGACAATAAAAGACTTGTATTTTACACACAATACAGACTACAGCACATGATTATGGTGATAAAAGCAGAGAAAAACTGCAACAATAATAACAGGGACAAGATAAAGGAGAACCAAGAGGCAGTTTAGGGTATACAAGAATTAAGAGCATTTATTACACATGGGATATATTAACATTTTGACCTGCTGCATCTCATCTCATCTTTAAAGATATGTATTTCTGATAAAAAGCAGGACAGCACAGACTTGTTCTGAAAAATGTCTGACAAAAAGAAGATGTAGATTGAAATAAATAAATAGTGCCACAGGCCGCAAGTGAC